TATGGAGTTGGCCAGATGTGTGTAAATTACTGTTCATGGTAATTTGAAAACAAATGCCGTTGTTGGACACACACAAACACACCGAACATACACACACACAGCGGAGCTGAGCAGAGCACATATACACACACATCATGCACCTTTGTGACCGGACATTTCCTTCATACAACGAGTAATAGGGGGAATAATCGGGCCGTTCGATGTGTGTGTAGAGGTGTGTGTGGCTGAAACGTAGTAGCCTGCAGTGGGGAACACAGTGAAGGCGGTGTGTATGCGCTGGTGCTGCACTTCTCAGAGGCTGCCTCCTGATGCTGCAGCCATTTCATGAAGTGAAGGAGGCTTTACAAATAAAAATATAGCTCTACACCCCTGGCCGCATTGTCCTTAAAATGAAGTCCGAGTTCAAAATATATCTCAAATAATGTATGCACTGCCATTCCCCCACAAACATAACAGTGTGCTCTATTGGCGCACCACCTGTAACTTTATCTGCGCACGAGAGGCTGAGACCTTATGCTAACCAATTTTGATTTATTTTGTATGTTTTGGATGAAATAATATGACTGGTATAAAATAAAATAAAATAAAAATAAAATGAATTTTTTTTGATAAAATATTTTTATATATTTATAATTCTGCAAATATTACGATAAACTCACAGCTATTTCGCGGCCCGGCAGTAACACCTCCGCGGCCCGGTACTGGTCCGCGGACCGGGGGTTGGGGACCCCTGTATTAGATAATATGCATAAAGCTGTCGTGGACCACAACACAAAAAAATCACTCAAATGTTTCCTGGGATAATAATACTACTCAAACTAATAGACGTATACATTTAAATAGCACCTCTCTTAAAAACAAAGCTACAAATGGATTTACAAGAATGAAAAGTCTCTACATTTCAACTGGATGAAGCGACAAGGCTCCTGAACTGTAGAGAAAAAGACTGGACCAAGCTAATGGCGTTAATAGGTTTTTATTTATTAAGAAATCTCACCTTAAAAGCCTTGTTGGGGTCAGGAGGCATCGCCATGGCAGCACCTGTCATCTGGTCCTGCATGATCCGCGACTGGTCAGCAGCTGAAGAGTTAACATCATATTCAATCAATGGAATCAAGCGGACAAACTCTCATCTCTGAACTGTGTTACTCTGACATTATGGCAGCTTTGAACACCAGCTGTGATCCACTGGACTTTAACTGTAACACTTTTTAAAGTCAAGACAACCTTCACATTCTATAATGAAGTGTAGGACTCTTTTCATACAGATGTGAAACTCCACAGTCGTGGCGCCAGAGAGGGATCAGAGCAAGCCCCGAGGAAGTGCGGCGGACTCTGTGTCCAACAGTCGTTGTGTCCAAACGGCGGTACTGCAACTTCCGTATCAGTCCGTGACGTCACCCGGCCCAGAAATACTTTTTCCCATTGACTAATGGGGAAAGAGGCGTCTGTAAATCGGCGGATATTTTTTTTTTAACTAAATAAACTACCCAGTATGAACTATTTGATAGCCCTTATTAAAATCATTTGGTCTTTAAAGTTGTAAAATGCACTAACAGCCGAATCTAGATGTATTTTCTCTCCATTCATTCTACTGAGCCGAGAGTGGGAGCTCGGGGGCGGGGCTTAAGGAGCGCATGCTCTGTGAGCGCACATACGGGTTCTTCTGCTCTGACAGCCAGGCATGATGGGTAATCTGTGACGTTTCGCTCTCTCAAAAGTTGGGCCATTTTGCCTTCATGCGCCAATGAGCAGCTCTCATAGGAAAGAACGGGACCCCGCCTCCCACGCTGTACCCAGTTCTTATTATACATCCATGGGTGAGACTCACCGTTGTCTTGTCCCAGGATGAGGCTGTACATGCTCCTCAGGCCAAACACATTCAGGAAGTACCAGGACGCTGAGCTCACCCTGCAGATTCACATGCAGCACATTTTAAGACAAATACAAGCAAAATACTTAAGCATTGAAATATTGACACACAGGCCATCGTTATGAACATTTTAATTAAACTTATAGTTATTGAACTTCATTTAAATTGAGATTTCCCCCCCAAATGTTAAAAGTCATAGTGACACTTTATGAACGAGGTAGTTTTATGACTAGCTGTCCACTCACTCAAATAACATTTATAAAATAATGTATGTCTATGGGTCGCCATTAAAAAAACTAGATTTCAATAAAACTGTCACTCCTGTTTTCTTTTTGATGGAAGAGAAACAGCTCCTAATATAAATACATCACTGGAGAAGCTCTGTTATATATTAATCATATAAATGTATTTTATTTATCCTGAGGACAGTTTATTTAAGAATAAAAGGATAAAATAAAGCAAAAAACCCCACAAAAATATGAAATAAATATGTATAAATGAATATATTTCAATGAATACAGTGTGTATAAATATTAATAAAGATATTAATGGTAGAAAATGGATTATTTTGAGTTTGTCTGAACTGGTTGTAAGATATTGTTGGTGAATGTCTGAGATGTGTTCATGGTCTCCTGAGGAGCGTCGGTGTGTTTTTACCAGGAGGCGTCCAGGGACAGCAGGTCGATTCCTCTCTGTAACATCGGCTTGAACCTCAGAGTCAGAGGGAACGGCACTTTAGCTGCAAGACAACAACAACAACAACAATCACTAACAAACAGGAATAGGGTTGGGGTCACGAGAATATTATTTAAATTTGACTTTAAATCCCAAAGAAGAATAAGTTAGAGCGACTTTAGATAGTGTTTTCTAGGGATGCTCCGATCGATCGACCACCGATCGATATCGGCCGAAACTCACTCTCTGCCGATTAGTGCTGGGGGAAAACGATTATTTTGAAAACGATTAATCGGGCGATTATTTCATCGATTAGTCGACTAATCTAACGATTAATTTCTGTTGTTCGATTTATAAAAAACATAATGTATCTCAAATAAATACAGAAAAGCATTACTTCATTCATGACAGCTGCGCACCAGCTTACGTGCAGCCCTGGCCTGGACATTGCTTGGCTCCGTTAGTTGACATACATTGATACTATAAGCTGACTAACGTTAGTCTAATGTTATGTTTGACTCGTAAACGACCACAACATGAGTGAGCTCTCTGTGCAGTTTGTTCGTTCCGGGTTAGTAGCGGCTAGATAGCGGTGTTCTGCAGACGTAAACTAGCTACCATTCCATCCAACATTAAATGCTGACAAACGTTAACTAACACACAGCTGGCGCCGCTAGTTGGTAGCTAACATTAACTACTAACCAACCAAGCATTCCATGGAATACAACAAAAAGTGTTTCTGAAGCGAATTACCTACCCCACCTTTAAGATGTAAAATATGATTTTACCAACAATGAGGAATTTACATTAATAGAAGTAGGCTATCAAGGCATTGCTAATTCCTGGCTAAATAATATGCGGCTTTCACACCAGCGCTTTTCCCGTTGTAGCTCCGTGCTAGAGCTTTTCTGGTTCAGCTCCGGTTTCCTTTCTGCTCCCGCTTTGTTCACACCATAGACTGTATATATAAAGGTTCACAACACACAGAGCCAGGGGTGGTACTGCATCATTGCCTCA